ACAAAAATTTGGAAATTTGGAAATTTGGTACTAAAATTTGGAAAAATTTGGAAAAATTTGGATCCAAATTTTTGCAGGTCCCTGGTGTAACTATAGAGAGGTTTGACTGTACATACTTAATATATAGAGAAGTTACTTAACAAAAAGGTAACTATGTATATTTTTTTGAATAATATTCAAACTCTTCAGTTATTTTTTTGTGAGGTTGCACTATACAGTTGCACTTCGGAATTAATTGTTGATATCATTCGGTAAGGGTAGCCAACTACCTAAGCTGTTTGACAAGATAGTTAATTCTTAGGCCACAAAAAGTATTTTTTAAAATTCTTTTTGTGAGGTTGCTCTGTATAGTTGCACTTCGGATCAACTATTTACAAGATAGTTTGTTCTTAGGCCACAAAAAATAATCCGAAGAAGCTTCTTTCAAATAAGGTTTACTGATTCTAAAAAAAGAGTCAATTATATCGCTTCCTTATTATAAAAGAAGCTTTGTTTGTTTTATTACTAATAAATATATTGCTACTTAAATAACTATGCGGAAAAGTTTGGCATTTTCCGTATTAACTTATAAAGTTATTGATTTTTTTTTTTTATTACATATTTATTAGAACGATGATACGCATCAAAAACACCTCTAATCGTTTGTATATTATAATAATAAAATTATATAATAAAATTGTTTAAATAAAATTATTTAATAAACTTGATAATAAATTTGTTTAATAGATTTTGAATTTTACACTTAAATTTTAAAGATATCCGAATTGTATACAAGTGCAAAAATTGATATTGTTGAATAAAACTAAGTAAAAAAGATCTTATCCTATCATATTATTACACGATAGTTCTTACATCGTCACAATACCTGATCCACATGCACATAATTGTCATTTACCAACCATCTTTTAGCAAGTGTTGATTTTCACTGGCTGGGTACTCAAATAATAATGGAATTTAAATGTAGTTTAATAAAAAAAAATATGAATCAAAACCATTACATTAGAGTTGGGTTGCGACCAAGGCTTACTAATTTGCGTAATGTCAAACATTTTTAACATTTGATTTATTTTACGGCTAAAAATCCCAAGATTTTATATGTAAAAATTGGTATTTGTTGCGAGTTGCAAATTAATTTTTTGCTGCCGAACTCAGCTCTAAGCCGAGAGTATAGGGTGGCTTTTTATTCAGAGGTGAGTGTTTATTTATTTAAAAAAGAAATTTGGTGTTCTATGATTGGTAATTTATAATATATACGTAGTTAGAATTTATTCTGGGTAATACAGGTTTATACCAGAGTCGAATTTAAAGTTCTATGCAGTGAAATTAAAGTGTTGCTACTTTAGTAACAAGCAAGATGCATTTTTACTAATTACTGTTACTGCAAAAGGATTTTCCCTCTTTTTTTTTTTTTGTTAACGTTAATCATTGAAAAAAAGATTACAAATCAATTAAATAATAGGTTTAGTCAAATACATAGAAAAATAATTGTGTAGATAAAATGTATGTACAGTACCATTACAGTTACGCAGAATGTAACGTCAAGTAGTTAAGTGCCGGTCTTTGGATACTAATTAATTTTTAATGCCTAGGGATGCCGAGAATTACTTTACTAATATATATAGTAATTGTGTGACAAATAGCGTATGTAGATCAATTTTTTAAAATGCTATTTATATTAATTTACGAGAGAGTGAAATCCGCGTCAGATGTGAGTTACGTTATTGGTGGCTCTACATCAAAAAAGCAACCTAAAAAAACGAATTTCACTCTTTTATTACGTATCCACATTGATAATAAAAATCAACTCGGGTTTCACCCTGTTCTCTAATTTTTTTATACAAAATTTGCATCACACTGGGTCTTGCAGAACATAGGAAAGCATTAATTCTCGATTATTTTCAGTGTCTTTAACGAAAGAGCTCTTAAATTGAATGCTATAGCATCGCTCATATTCGATAATTTACTATAAATGCCATAATACTTTTCTAGTTTCAATTGTCTTACGAATGAATCTCGGCATCTTCTCCGAGACTGGGAATTAGATCATGATCGCAAGCAATTCATTTAATAATAAGGAATCAACTTTCATTAGAAATTTTTATTTTTTTAAAAAAAAGAACTGTTAGGCACCTTTTGAATTTCGAAGGAAACTTGGTCACTTTATAATTATCTTTCATTTATTGTATACATTTTCGATATAACTATTTTAGATCCGATATAACTCTTGGACCTAACATATTAATTTATTTAACATAACCTGTTTAATCGCTAAATCACTCTTGGTTCTAATCCGAAAAATTTAATAATTTATAGCATTGACCTAATAAATTTGACCATTTTTTGATTTGACCGAAAATGGGATAAATATTTTAGGTTTGTTACTATCCCAAATTATATAGGAATATATAGGAATCAAGTTTCCAAATCCCAAACTACGTAACAATGTCATCATTAAAAAAAAAGAGAAGATTTAGGTCGCAACCCCATTGCCTATTCATCCAAATCATCATAGTCTTCATAATCTGGCGATCGTCCACCTCCGATTACCCGATGACTGCCCTGATATGATCCTTCATCATCTTCTTCCCTTTCATTATGTTCATCATGTAAAGCGTCGTCTTCATAATCTCCATGAGAAAGATTTCCCTCTGGCCGAACGTGTTCGGATGCATCAACCCAGTCTGAATATACATCAATAGGATCACTTAAAGCTACATACAAAGATTGTAAAAATCAATGAATTAAAAAATAAAATAAAATAAAATAGAAAATTTGCGAGGAAAAATATATATAATTAAAAGCGACTACAATTTATCATTGATTGAAAGCCAACGCCGCATATCCTACAAGTCAAGTTTCCGATCTGAGTTTCCTTTTGCCTGATTGATCATAATAATGTTTTTTTTTAATTCAATCAAGTATGTATCAACGTAATACCTATATTATTTCAATAACTCTCTTAGGAAAAAAAAAAAAAAAAAACTTGCATTTTAACATCAACACTTTTCTCGTGATTGCAAAAAATGCAATCGAACTGAGTATCAAGAACAAGCTTTTTCTTGACCACAGGTTTTCTCTTGGTTTTACGCTTTCCCATCGCTTATGATCTTATAAAACGATCCAAATGGCGGAAACACAAAGAGAAAGATGCTATTGTGACGAAGTTCAAGGTTTGGTGTCCTAACTAACTAAAATTACGGATCATCATACCGACGTTTATAAGTAACATCTTATACATATACACTTCCCGTGACCATTTAAATTTTGTGTATATATTACTATTTGAGTATAGATCGGCATACGTCCAAAAGATAAAAGGATAAGCCTCAGTTGATTCTGGCTTTATATTCTGCATTTCCTTCTTTTCTGCGAGTGTTTAGCAATTTGCATATTTCTGGATCAACCCCTTCTGCACTTATTTCCTGCTTTTTCATGTCGGTAAAAGATAGAACTTCCGAATTTCACGCTGCTGTGGAATCGATCCGTTCAAGGTCTTCAAATGGTCACGGTGGCTTTCAGGCAAGGCACAATTTGGAACATCGTCGACCTTTGCTAGGCGGTAATAATACCGGAGGCAAGCCTATTAATGGTTCGAATGGGTTAAATAAAGGTGAATTCTCAAGAATGGCTGGAGCAATTGGGAAAGATATTAATATAACGGCAGCAAAGTTACAGAAATTGACGAAATGTATGTAAGATTAGACTTTATTTAAGATTTTAATTATTCGTTACTTTAATTATATTCAATTTATTTAATTTTTTCTTTTTTTTTTTTAGTGGCTAAAAGGAAAACTTTATTTGATGATCGACCCGTTGAGATTAGCGTGAGTTCAATTTACGATTTATTATTATTCACGCGAGAGAATATCTATTACTCAAAAAAAAAATATATGCATATATTTTTTAAAAAACTTTTTTTGCCCCATTATTTTATGCTGGCTTTACCTGCTCCTGTTGTCATTTGAACAGGAATTGACTTATATAATCAAACAAGACATTGCAAAAATAAATAAGCAAATAGCCCTTCTTCAACAATATGTTCGTGATCATAAAAAGCATAACAAACAAGCTGATGAACATTCTTCAAATGTGGTTGTCATGTTGCAATCAAAATTAGCTAGTACTAGTATGGGCTTTAAAGATGTGCTTGAAATTCGGACTCAGGTATGTTATATAGTTCTATGATATACAATCATAATTTTCAGTTGTATTCACTTAAATAAATATTTAGAATATGAAAGAAAGTAAAGATAGAAGGGAACAGTTTATGTTTTCAAGTAGTCAACATGCTAATATTCCAGCAGGTATGTGAACCATCGTCAGCTTAAGTAAATAATCTTTCAAAAAGTTATTAATATGTATTATTTTCAAAAATAGCAAATTCGCCGCTATACAATACGCAGAGGCGCAATGAACATCAAAATACTGATTTTCTTGCTCTTGATATGTCGTCAGGTCAGGTTCAGCAACAACAATTGCAGTTCATTGAACAACAGGTATACAGAATGTTATTTATTTATTAATTAATTAATTATTAATTCAGATAAAATTTGATAATATATATATATATATTTTTATTATTTTACAAGGATAATTATATTGAAAGTCGTGCAACTGCTATCGAATCAATTGAATCTACTATAGCTGAGCTCGGTAACATTTTCCAACAACTTGCACAAATGGTAGCAGAACAGCGAGAGACTGTTCAAAGGTATTAAATTATCAATAAGAATATGTGTGCCATTTCATATTGAATTCTTATTGAATGCTAATTTGACTAATTCTAATTAACAGAATCGATGCAAACACCGATGACATTCAAACACATGTAGAAGGAGCACAAAAAGAGTTGCTTAAGTATTATGCAAGCATCTCTTCAAACCGCTGGCTTATGGTTAAGATATTCGCGGTGATAATATTCTTTTTCTTGATCTTTATTCTCGTTACTTGAGAAAGTATCCCCTCCTTATTCTTTTCCTATCAAGTTTATTTTCAGTTTGTTATTACCTTTCACGTGTAAATAACTGGACAGATGAATATTGTGAAGATATTTTTAATGTTTTGCCCCTTAGTAGTTTGAACATTTACTTGTAATTTTAGACAAAGAAAATGTATAATCATGTGATGTATCAAACAAAAAATCTATCTTACTCTAGAATTAATCTTACATAATCATTAATTGATTACTAAATATTTCTATAATCTGGATGTAATTATGGGTAATGACCATATTTATAATTTGATTTGATTGAAAAAATCCAATATACAATAGTGACTAAATAGTCGACTCTATCTAGGTGCGAATCATAATAATATAATTTAGTAAAGTCGCATTTAATGAAAAGCAGCACTTAGAAAAATCTAGACTTTAGATATGTAAAACCATATTGTTTTAGAAATGTTTTATTTAAATTATAAAGTGCTTGCATTTTAAGAGTGTACTGATAATATGTTGTGGTTAATACGTATTGGGAATTGTGCCTATTTAATATATTCTATTTAATAATAATATACAAGTGGACCTTTGTATAATCATTTGTCGACACGGTAGAGTTTGGAACCGGTTTTATTTATTATATGTTAAAACCGGGTTTAGTCGGTTTTAACATATGGAAAATACTGTAATTGGTGTGAAAATAGAGTTTATTTTTCATATGAAAAATAAAACCGGCTCCAAACTATGAAACTGGTGAAAACTCTTGGTGAATGGTGGTGAAACTGGTGAAATTTAATATAACAGCCAATTGGATTTCAGTTTCACCAACATCTGGCATGTAATTTTTAAATTTAAGCATCAATTAACTGTCTAATATCTAAGAAAGAGCTTTTATTGGTCTCACCATTAACATTCAAAAAAAAAAAAAAAAGAAAGAGCTTTTATATGATTGGCTGTTTAAATCAATTTAATTTTACATTTTTATATAGCTTAAAGTATTTTTTTAAAAACAATAAAACTACAAAGAATAATAAAGTATATACTGTATATAGAAAGTTTTATTAGGGTTTACAATTGAAATAATCAAATCCTCTTTTATGTTAGAGAAGTTATCATGATGATAACTTATTTTTCAGAAGTCGTTATTATGCTAACTTCTCAATAGTGGAGTCCTACGACCCTAATAAAACTTTCTATACCTGTATACCTTATTTTATTTTTATTTTTTAATTAAATTGATTTAAACAGCCAATCATTATAATTTACTATCATTATCTTATCATATCGTTATCTTTTATTTTAAAGTTGGACTGTTGTACAATTTCGAATTATATCATGTGAGAATCTAATTAATCACGAATTAACAAGTTAAACGTTAATTCGTTAGTATCGTTAAACGAATTAGCGTTAATGCCGCGTTATAAATAAATGCTCGATATGCATTAAAAATTTTAGCTGTTTTCAACTGTAAAATCGAAACGACTCTTCACAAGATGACACAAGATAAAGTAATCTTAGTTACCGGTGGCTCTGGGCTCGTTGGAAAAGCCATTGAATGGGTAATTGAAAATGATAAAGGAAAGTTCGGTAAGATGGAAGGCGAAAAGTGGGTTTTCCTTACCAGCAAAGATGGTGATTTGAGGTAAAGTTGTTTTCGCTTTAAGACTCATATTAATATTATTTTTAATAATTTTTTATGGTGTCTTAACTGGTGATTTTATACCATCCTTTTATATTCTTTAGGTCTGCTGAAGCTACTCGCGCAATTTTTGACAAATATAAGCCGACTCACGTGATACATTTAGCCGCTCTTGTCGGTGGACTCTTTAAAAACATGAAATATAAATTAGATTTTTTACGTGATAATTTATTGATCAACGACAACATATTGCATACTTCGCATGAACATAAGGTTAATATGAAAATTTTCTTTCGCGATATTTTTCAAAAAAAAAATTGTGAATGACCGCCGTTTTTTTCGCTAGGTTAAAAAAGTTGTATCGTGTCTATCTACTTGTATCTTCCCAGACAAAACAACCTATCCGATCGATGAAACCATGATACACAATGGACCTCCACACGATTCCAATTTTGGCTATGCATACGCCAAACGCTTGATAGATACACAAAACAAGTATGTCAAAAGTATGATGGCATTGTTTTTTACCATTTCATATATATAACTTTTTTCTTTTGTTTAGAGCATATTACGATCAATTTGGTGATAAATTCACCTCGGTTATTCCAACTAATGTGTTTGGTCCTCATGATAATTACGATTTGCAAGATTCGCATGTAATTCCCGGATTAATCCATAAATGTTATCTCGCTAAGAGTATGTATAATAGTATCTTCATGATCTATTTTAAGATTGTTTATATAAAAATAATATATTTATTTATTTATTTTATCATTCAGAGAATAAAACGCCATTTGTAGTTGCTGGTACTGGTAAACCTCTTCGTCAATTCATTTACTCACGAGACCTTGCAAAATTGTTTATTTGGGTACTCAGGGAATATGATGAAGTTGAGCCTATTATCTTATCAGGTAATAAAAATTCTTACTGTTTGAAGTTGTCTCCCTTTTTTTTGATTTTGGAACTAACACTTTTTGTTTTAGTCGGTGAGAAGGATGAAGTATCTATTAAGGATGTGGCAGATGCAATTGTAAATGCTATGGATTTTAAAGAAAGTTACTCTGTAAGTTTATATATATATATGTATATATACAAGTCATTCTCGTTATAATGAACTCTCGTTATAGTGAAACTCTTGTTATATTGAAGAACAGTTTATATAAAAACTCTCTCAATATAGTGAATTTACTAATAGACTCTCGATATAGTGAAGAAGATTTCACAGCCCGATCATTTCACTATAACGAGAGTGACTTGTATATGGGTGACGCCAAGAGAAAACCAGGAATTCTAAAAATAGACTTCCATCCACAGCGAAGTTGCGGGGTTTTTT